GAATTTTGAGTAGCACAAAGTTTCTCACACTGTGATTGGACAGATAGAGCTCATATCAGTAAAAGAAGTAAACAAGCACCCATTGGTCACCTCACGTGTCTGAATGCATTTCCTTAGTACTATAAGAACCTGAAGTTCACTATAAGTTGCATGCCAGTTGCACGGGTGAATACAGGACATGAAAACTATGATATCATTGGCTACACAGAAAGAACAAGGCTGGATTAGGCTATCCTGAATAGAAAACAATCCGATCACTCATTTCTTCTCCAGCAAACACAACTATCATACTCAGGGCTAGTATCTTTTTGAAGGGTTTTGATACTTCTATCTGCTCATTGGAACTACTTACAATGACTAACTAAACAACATTACATTCCTCCGGACAAAATTCAACTCGAACACAACCCTTTTTTTCTTTTTAAAAATTTTTGATTAAGCGCTAGTGGAGTTAAGGCTTCACATGGGTAGTCCTCAAAATCAGTGATGCTGGGTATCCCAGGTGAATCCTTGGCACATTAGTTCCCTCTTTTTGAGGTAGCAATAAGCTGCTCGGTGGGCCAGCCAATAGTCATGCTATAGGGAGTGTCAAGATGTAGAATAGAAAATTGACACAGTGTGTATTTACATATTCCCTGTCTTTTCATGGTTTGTTTTTGTAAGTAGATATCTATACTAGATGGTCATGTAACTATCTTATCCTGGTTGGGTGAGACGTAAATAGATAGCTCTTTGTACTATTCATGGATCTATAAATCCTTAGACAGTACGGATAGTTATTTATCCCGGTTGTCCCTAGGTCTTTTGCTTATTAAAATAAATCTTGCTCACTTCGACGCAAGGATGAGCTAGCATTTAAAAAAAAAAAATAAATAAATAACCAAATATTTGAATTGGTATTTTAATATTTTTTAAAAAATTTTTATATTAAACAAGTAATTACTAAGTAAGTATTTAATTTTATTGAATATTTGCAAAACTAAAAACTAATTATAAATTAAACTTGTTGAAAAACTCTTATTTTTATTAATTTTTAAAAATATAAAAAAAATATTATTTAGGTTTAATTAATTTCGGAAAATTATTTAATCTATATTTCTATTTTATTAATTCAAAAATTATAAGTTGACTTTTGTATTATTTTTTTAATTATATTTTAATAAAATTTTTAATACTACCATAAACCACTGCATACAATACCCCCTCTAAAGTAATACCCTCCCTTAAATAATACTCAGTAGTATTCAAGAAAATTGTTATATGAATAGGCAAGTGAGAGATATGTCAGATGATAATAAGACACTAAATATCCCACCATTTATACTACCCCCCTTCTAGTAGAATACCTTCCGGGTACTAATCAATTTATTATAGAGTAAATTAGTTAATACCTGAGGTATTGTATGCAATGGTTTATGGTAATATTAATAGTATATATTTTTTTATATAATTATTATTAGAACTCTTTTTAGATTTAATAATTAATACTATACTATTGAATTTTTATATTTAGTCTATTTTATAAAAAAATTTATATAATTATTGAACTTATTAATTCTATATGTTTTAATTTTCTTAATTATTAAGATAAGATCTTTTTTAAACAAGATTTTTAATCTTATTCTATATTAATTAATATTTTTTATTTAATTTCTTATTGTTATAAAGATTTATAAATAAATTAATTTTTATATTTTAATTGCAATATTATAATTTGTGATAATTAAAACTATTATACTTGAGATATCATATATAGTATTATAAAAATGATTAATTTTTTTGCTTTAAATATTAACAATTATAATGAATCTTTATTAAGAATTACTTATCTATTTTATTATTTTTAATTAAAATCTAAGTAAACTTATTTTTCTATAATAATTTTATTAAAAAATATTTTTATAAAAAGTGAATTATTTATTTGTTTTATTTATCATATTTTAAAATCTATAAATTTTTTCTTATATTTTTTAACTGAATATCTTGTTTTATTAAAACTATTTTCTATCTAATACCAGTCATGGATTTATAAAAAAAAAAAAATTAAAACTGTTTTCTAATCTTTTATTTATTTTTTTATTTTAATAGATTTGATAATAGATATAATTATTATTTAATAGCTTATATATATTTATTAATTAATAAGATTATTTGAAAAAATAATTAATTTTTCTTTTTTAGACATTTTTTTTTTATTTAATTGAAAAAATAAACAAGTTTGTATTAATAATATTTTGAACAGTTAAACAGATTATATCTAAATAAAAATAGATATTATTATTTATAAAATTATACAAAAGTCAATATAGATATTGCTATTTAATAATCTAATATATTAGTATATTATTTGAAATATTAAGATAAAATTTTCAATATATTTTTCTTTTAATAAATCTAATGGAATTATTTTAATTTGTAAAAATAATTAAATTTGAATATAAAAAACAAATATATTAATACTTATAAATTAATAATTTAAATAGTGGTATTCTAGATTTTAAATAAAAGTTTTTGTTTAAATTTATAAAAAATATTTGTATGTTTAAATTGCAAAAAAATAGATCTCTAATTTTATATTAATTATAAAATAAATAATTACTCATAAAAATTATATTAAAAAAGTCTTCAATTTAATTATATATAATAGTTTTACTTTAATAAATTTTATTTAAATTATAATGATATACTTTAGAATCTTGATTTTAAGACTTCAATAATTGGTTAAATATTTTTAATTTAGAATTATATTAGTAAACTTTAAAATTTAATTACTTTAATTTAAAAAAATTGCCTAAATTTTTTAAAAAATAAAAATTTTTATTATAATTTAGAATTAATTTATTTAAGAAATATAAAAAAATATTAATATAAATATTTTAGTTTTATAAAATAATTTTTAATTAAATTAATTTATATTTATTTAATAACATTATTTTTTAATTTTTTTAAAAAATTTTAATATTAAGTTGTATAAATATTTTAGTTAATATATTATTTTATAACAAATTATATGTAAAATTATAATTAAAAAGTGAAATTTATATATATTAGTTTATAAAATTTGTGTATAATATAAAAATTTTTAATTAAAATAAAAATATAAAATAATAATAATAATAAAAGTTATAAAATAGTTTTAAGTAAAATTAATTTTTAGGTATTTAAGTATTTATATTTTAAGTTTGATTTAATTTAAATAATTCTTTATTAATTAAATATATTTGAAAAAATGGCAAATTTTTTGTCACTACTGTATATACTTAAATAAAGAATCTATCAAATAAATTTATTTGTGATATTGTAAATAGTAATAAAGAAAGCTAAAATCTTTTTTATTATTTAAGTAAAAAGCATTGATATATTTAAATAATTAATTAATTCTTAAAAATTTGAATTTTAAAGTATATTTTTACTATATATAATCTAATAAAATAAAATCAAAGTATAGTTTTAGACTGATTATTTATATCAACTATACTATTATTAACTATGTATTAATATTTGATCTTTGGTTAGATTTACTTATTTATAAAGTAATTATTGAAATTATTTAGAATACCTATACTAGATTATTATTAATTTATATATTGTAAATATAAATATATAGTTTATATAAAATAATTAATATTATGTTGAAGATTTAATTATATATTAAGTTAATTCTTAATAAAAATCTTGTATCCAATACTGTATTAGTTGCAATTTAACAAATTAAATGTATACTATATACAGTATATATTCTAATTATTTATTTAAAAATTTATTTATTTTTAAAAATAATATTTTAAAGCTTTATAATAATTTAATCAAAGTATTATATAATTAATGATGCTTTAAAAATTACAATATTTAGCAATACTTGTTATAAGAATAAATATTATATTAATTTTAACAATAATCATTGTTAATATTGACTTTATTAGGTAAAAATATATCTAAATTTAATTAAAAAATAAATAATTGCCGATTATAAAAATAGCAGTGTTTTATAGTGCCAATAAAAAATATTAATCTATTAGAAAATCTCGTTGACAAATAAAATAATTTATAATATTTTAGCACATATGCATTGATTGCATCCATTCATAATTCGTATATAAACATTTAATTTATAAATACCTTTTCATATCTAAAACGTTTTATTTAAATTATAGTGGATATCCTATAAATCGATTGCCTGCAACTAAAATTTCTAGAAAATGACTCCACAAAAGTCTCGTCGAACATTCAAAATGAAATGCGATTTATGTAATGTGCTTAATGCATGCACACGGTATCGCTACTTTTTTGTGATGACATACAAATTGAATTAAAAATTGGACTCTTTCAACAATGTTTATTTATTAATTTGTTTTAAAAAAAAAAGGATTTATTAATTTAAGTTATTTACAACATAAACATTAGGATATCCTTTTGAAACAACTAAGGAGAACAAGAAGTATGTACGTGTACGTACACATATAACACGGAGTATGTAAGACAAACAAAAATTCATGAAAGTAAACAATAGTTCTTTATGGATGCCGGACAGATAATAATGTTTTTACCAAGGTAACATCATCATTTTTTCTGACCAATCATAATATATAATTCAAATTAAATATGTACACGAGAGCTTAGAGTGAATTCTACTTGGTTACACAGATTAAGGCGCTTTTTGAACAAAGAAAATTAATTAGTACGATGTATAATCAAGCCGGAGAAAAAAAAAAAAAAGAGAGAGAGAAATAAACATCCTACCTATAGCAAGTACACTGCGGACCATTCTTTGTACTGCCCCAACTTCTCAGGATGAAATTAAAGGGAAGTTTGGATTCATATTCCTTTGGAACCTTGATTCTCACTTCCGCAGAGGCAGAAGTACTTTTAAAGTTGACAGTTTTATTCCACAGATTAGCCACTAGCCCATGTTCAGTATATAGGTCACAGGAATCCACTTTATGAACCTCGGCACCCTTATTCTTTTTCCAAGCACATTTGATAGTTTCACCATCTTTAACCGTTAAAGCAATCTTCTTTAATGGAATTGTGCCGTTTGCTTTCGGATTCGTAAAGTCAAACCCTTTAAATTTTGAAAGTTAATAAAAACGACATCTTGCTGATTTTCCTGAAAGGATGAGAGAACTTAATTTACCTCCACAAAGTTTTTTAAAAAGTTGCGTAAAATCGTCTCGCGCATGCAGCTGAAACACTGAATAGTAAATTATAATTAAAATCATTTTCGCAATTTAAGTGGAATAGGTCAAAAGAGTTAATCACCTTGAGGCAAGGGTATAGCAGAAGCTTCTACGAAAGTACTGGCATAAGTGCATAAGAGCAATAAAATAAAAACGTATTGGATTTTAAAAGACATCACGATTATTTTATAAAGGGTCAAAGTTTCTTCGTTTTCGTGAATAAATAAAAAAAAATTATTATTAATTCTTTTTTTTTTTTTGTCGTCTGAAGAACGGACGAATGTCAAAAATACGTGTGGAAGGGATGATACTTATATCTATTTCATTTTTTTGAGGAGTCAGGTGACAAGCTTGAACGTCGCTATTTTCGGAGTTGCGCATACCAGCCACATTTTCCTTTTCTAGGAAAGTACTAATTGTCCCAGAATACTAAAGAGGCACTAAAAAAACCAGAATAATGTAGATGCGAGTGGTTATTACCATATCTACTTTTTTTTAATTTTAGGTTTAGCCGCCGAGCCTCTTCATACTAGATTGGTCGAGTTTACCTCTCTTGATCGATTGCAGATTATATCATACTTTTTTCGACCTAAATTTAAATAATAATATCATATTTTTAAATAAAATTATTTATTAATAGTGTATATTGTTCCTATGGATAGTATCCGTCTTTAGTGAACAATTACGTATGAAATCGAATCAGAATGTTATTGTGTTACGACCTCTCTAGGTCATTGAATGACCTTTTAATAACACTGGTCTGTGATCACATATAATAACATTTTTAACATTAAATATATCGCGTTTCGGGGGAGGGGGGGAGATAACGGAATCTATGCATTGCATTGCTCAGCCTTTTTGCGCGCTGGCCCGAATGTTTGGGGGGATGCGTACATATATCTTCCGAATAAATTGGTCGGATGATCTCTATTTTTATAGACTCATTATTGTGATCATGTTTCAGAAAAAAATCTCCATAAATAATTACTAAATTAGATGCTTCGCCAAAAATGTAAACACTTTGAGTATAATTCGAGCATAATTTGAATTAACTAAAGTAGCGCTTCTTGAAGGAGGAATGTTGAATAGGGTTGCGAAGATCCCAATGCAAACTAAATGTGCAGTATTATCTATTTAACCATTCGAAATGCCAAGATAATCCTTATATTACGTAAATTAATAATTTACGCTTTATTAACTGCTAAGCGAGCCCAGCCATACCAAAAAAAAATTTTTTTTTTTTCTTAACTCGTTCTGTGTGAAAATTGCAACTTCATTCTCAACCCTGGTATACAGTATATGGTAGGTTAATAGTCGTCCATTTAAGGAATGCACAGCATTGATCCTTGAAGCATCAATTGTATTGTTCTTGTTTT